TGGTCCCCATTATCAAGGACTGGCTCACTGGTTGAGTTCCCAGCACCTCGAAGTAAGCCCTCATGAAGCTGATCTAGGACTCAACGTCTTCTTTGTCGTCGTACTTAGACGGTATGGGAACCGCCTTCCTGTCCACATAGGGACTGCTGTAGCCGGCACCAGCGATTGCTGTTTCTGAACTCGAGGCTGCAACAGTTGCAGAATTTCCTGCGCCACCACTTGCCAAAGCGGCAGCAGGGTCTGCACCTAGTGCAGGTCCCAATGGAACCACCCTTTGAGAAGAAGTAGAGGGATGGAGAGGAGCGAGGACAGTTTGGTTTGCAACATTGGAGGCAGGAGGTAGAGGGAGAGGATTAGGAGTTTGGTGCTTCTGCAGATTTGCCATCTGCCGCATTAGATCATTGTGCTCTTTGGTCATTTCGGCCACTTTTGCCCGCAGCTCACTTACCTCTGCCGAGAGTTTGGTGATCTGTTTAGGGATGTCACTGAGTAGGTGACAATCTATAAGAGCACGTACATATGCGACTATCTCCTTTCTGGCCTCAGTGTCAGGCAAGGAGGAGACTGTTTTGAGGACAACCTCATGGTCTGCAACAACTATTTTCCTCTTCTCCTCCTCGACTTTCTCTTCCCTTGCGAGTGCCTTCTCGTAGGGAGTTTGGAACAATGGTTTATCCTCCTCTATGGCTGCGTCCAGTTGGGTCTTTAAGGCCACATAAGCCTTTACATCGCCCATTTCTGCAAGTCCCTCAAGATGAGGGCGTTCACTCTCTCGTCTCTCTTTCTCTCTTCCTTTTGTCTGCGAGTCTCTACGGGCATCAAAATACGAACTCGAGAAAAGAAACAAATTGAAAAGTTCAAAGAAGAGAAGGTAGAACTCCTAGCCGGAGCGACATTACATTTGGACTAGAGAGCAGCAAACCACAAAAAGAAAAACAAATTCACAGGAGAGGTCTGATCCAGCGACCCGGTTTGATCAGATTGCATATGAGGTCCGCTCGAGTCCAGTCTGACCAGCTCCGTGACCGTTCAGCAAATCAGACAACGGGTGACTAAATGCAACAACAAAGAATTGAGTGGTGTATAGGGTGTGAGTCAAGCCATGGACGGTGCGATCAAAAGCATGCGAAACGTCTCAGTTGAGATCCCCTCGGCAGTGGGTGTCCTAACCAACAAGAATAAACTCCGGATCTTAGTCAGGAAGAGAATGGACTAATGTCTAACAGATTCGGGTCCAAGGGCTCTTCTTGTTTTGGCTTGGTCCCACTGGGTCCCCAGGGGTCCCACGTAGGTCGTGACCGAGTCCCAACCAAGAGGAGTCCCACTTGCACTAAGTTTTTGCCTCTACCATCCTGAAAATGAATTCCAACTTCCGGCAGAACCTACATACTACAGCCGTTCATAGATGAAAAGACAAAGCACTGTAGAAGGAATCGACATTCAAATCAAGATACTTCGTTTCTCCATCCATCAGGTGCGTAGGTAGTTCAACACATTCAATCACACAATCAAGACCACAGAGGAGTAGGAAAGAAACCCAGAATAACCCCAGCAGGACAATCAATACCATGCACACGTACATGGGCATCCCGTAGGTGCACGACACTTACCTGAGTGGCCTGAGCTTCGAGGTGAATAGAACTCACCCCCCTCTCATGTGATCCTTCTGACCCCTTTAACGCTACCCCTACACTAGTGTCCTATCTCCTAGGAGGGTCTTGACTCCAACACCAAAGTGCAACGCCGGGTCCCCCGCCGATGCTGGAGAACAAAGTGGCAACTTGCAGTCGTAGATGCTGAATGGCCGCTGACCCTCAAGTTCGCCTACTTGAGGGCAGCCCTTAAGTTGCCAAGTGTTTCCCTTGAATCAGATTCCAGGTGCGAGTGCCTCTCTCAAGTTGCCGCATGAAGTCTCCACGAAATGTCTCGCCACCCTTATCTCACTCTCAAGCAACCCGGTTAGGTTCGATGTCGACCCCACATGACCTAACCAGGTGGGGGCAGCTTCCCTTAGCCACGCTGCCCCACTTCCCTAACATCCAACCCTAACCCTAAGTGTTGCCCGCAACCACTTAGGTTAGGGTTAGGGCAGCAAAGTCAACTCTCACCAGCAAGTAGAATCCGCTCTGATACCAATGTTATGATCCTGGCCAATTTCGAGATACACTTTCATCATAGTACAATGCCGTCCAATTGCAGAAAGAAATGAATGAGCTTGAGAGGAGAGAGAAGGTTAGAAGAAGAAGAAGTAAGAAAGAAGAAGAAGATGATGTACACCAGCGTAGACAAATGACAAAGCTCTTCTTCTTCGCCCAACACTCTCTTCCTCCTTATCTCCTCCTCTCTTATTCACACAAGAAATAATAGTACAATGTTGAATGGCTGAACCAGAATCAATGTCCGAATCCCTTTTCTACTGCAGGTATCACTTGAGGTCCACCATAGCCATGGCCGCCTCCCTCACTCTTCACTCTCATGGGCCGAGGCTATGGCGGACTACTTGGGCCTTGCCCTGCTGTGCAAAGGACAACGCAAAGCAGCTATGGCTGCTCTACCTCAGGCCGCCATCCTGACTCTGCCTCGAAGCTTCTTGGTGTAGCTCTCCCCAGCTGGGGTCTCCCTGCTGCAGCGCCCACCAAGGTGATGAAGATGGCTGCCATCATAGCCAGGTAAGTACCTCTGGCGCTCCTCCCCCTTCCTGTCCTTCTTCCTCCTCCAAGTCCTTGCTTCTTCCCCAGCAGTGCTGCTCCAAGCTAGCGCTGCTCCAGCGAGCGCTCCAACCAGCGTGTCACCAAACTTGCACACCGACAATGAGGCTGGGCTCTTCGCCCGGCCTGGAGATATAGCGACCTGCTTGCCTCTCGGGCGGTGACTTCCAGGCCGCTCGGCCTCCCAAGCAACTGGTACCGCCTCCCTTTCGGTGGGAAACATCGTTGCAGACTCTGATATTGCCTGTACTGGCCCTAGACTCAGACTGGTACCCGCCTAGACCTAGCCTACAACTACTGGGCCTCTAAAAATTCCACTTTTGTCTTCTTCTGCTCGGCCTCCAGTACCCTGCACATCTACCGCTTCAGGGTGTGGTACTGGCCTCCCTGCTACTTTGAGTGTTTCCCCGCTGCTTCAAGTGCTGCGGGCCTCTTTCCCCGCCACTGTCGTGTTTTCCCCCGCTGCAATCCTCAATGCCACGGCCACGGTAAGTACCGGCCCTGAGGGCCCAACGAACGAGCAAGTGCCTTTACGGGCCCCACACACACTCAAGCCAACCAGCACTCAGACAGACATGCAGTCCAGCAAGCGTGCACACACACAGACTTAGTAGCAATCGAGAAACTCAGCAAGGCATTCAGTCCATGAGCAAAACTCAGAAATCAGCCGTGTGTTTCAGTCCATGTTTGGTCAGGTCATCCCACATTACCTCCCTCACTGCACCCTTTTTCATCATAGTGTTCTTTTGCAACATTCTGAAGCATGAGCGACAGACCTTAGAAACGGTTTGGCAGGCTCCTTGTACTAGTTTATGAGTTGACACCATTCTATGTTTTGTGTGAAAGTTGCGGACTTGTCTCCTCTAGTGACCCAGTGAGAGTGCATGTATGATGTTGACAAGCAAAGCTGGGTTTAACATGAGGATAAAGAATTGTCAAAGTTGGGCACTCGAAGTGTTTACTCTCGGGCCTGTCGTTGTTAATCTTTACTCTAGCTACAGGTTGAGTCGGCATCAGTCCGGTTCTTTTTCCACCAGCAAGTTGTAACTTTGCATCAGGAAATTCACACATGCCTCCCTCTGCCTGCCAAAGGATCCCCGGTCAGCATTGATTGCTCTATTTTCATAGAGGATCGACTGCCAGCTTGCCTCTCTCCAATAATTCCTCTCAGACATGGTGGCCGGGTATGCCAGCTTAGCTTGATAAACTAGAATCTTTGGAGAGCAGAGTTGAGAATACTGGAGAAAAGAAATTTAGAAAAAGGAGTCGGTGACTCGGTGAGAGTTTGGCTCATCCACTGACAGGTGAGAGTCTGGCTCATGGTTAACAAGGGGGATGCAGGGCTGGGTTCAAAATGAGGATTAAGAATTGTCAAAGTTGGTGCACTCGAAACGTTTACTCTTTATAATGTTCACTATAGTTACAGGTTGGGTTGGTTAGAGTTTAAGACTTGAAAAAAAAAAAAAAAAGGGAGTCAGTGAGAGCTTGGCTCATCCAGCTGAAAGGTGAGAGTATCACTCATGCAGCTGAAAGAGTCGCAAGGCACGGAGGGAATCTGCCAAACAGGTCCACCACTCTACCAAGCTTGCGCGTAAAAATATGTTGGGGGAAAACTGTTGCACATGGTCCTGAGGGCAGGCAGTCCCATTCCTTTTTCATTGACAAGCCATAAGACATATCGAAGTACCCTTAGCAAAGTGCGCTCTTTTAGTTCATAAATATGTGACAAATTGAGAATATATCGAAGTGCCTACTTGTGTACGCAAGAATCCCTTCGGAAAGCTGAGAGTTTTTATGTCTCTCTCTGAAAACCCACCCGTAGCATTCAATTGTAATGACTGCAGGGCGAGTGCCCCCCTGCGCGCCCAGCCCGACTGTGGCTGGCCGTGCTGGTCGCCAAGGTTCACACCAAATTCCCGTTTGTGGGCAGACGTGTTTTGTTGGATATTTGCAATATTTCCCCTGATACATCAGAGCCTAGTCTTCATCCTTGACTTGTTTTGGTTGTTCTTGTCTTCGGACTCAAGGATTAAAGACTGCCGAAGTTGGGGCACTCAGAATGTTGTGCTCCGTCTGAGTAACCCCCATTTGGTCTGGTAGAGCAGCCACAAACTTTGGAAGGAGGGTTGTGGGGGGATGGGTGAGCGATAGGTTCAGTGCTGGTGCTTTAAGAAATTTGCACAAATGATCGTTCTTGAAGATGAACTTCATACTCGCTTGAGTCTGGTACCTTTCCCGCGGCCTCCCATTATTTGTCAGAATTTTGAAGTTGAGTTATGTTTTTGTTGTCAGGTGGAAGCTGAAATTGAGAAGCAAACTCACCAGCAGCATGCGTTGGCAGAGTTCCTTCTTGCAGGAGACAATCATTATGTGGATCCTTTTCTTGTTCTCACAGTAAGTCTCCTGCCGTCTCTTGTCCCCCTTCTCTTTTTCCCTTGACCCTGCTCCTCGTTTACATAGAGAGAGACGGACAGAAAGAGACTCTCTCTCTCTCTCTCTCTCTCTCTCTCTCTCTCTCTCTCTCTCTCTCTCTCTCTCTCTCTCTCTCTCTCTCTCTCTCTCTCTCTCTNTCTCTCTCTCTCTCTCTCTCTCTCTCTCTCTCTCTCTCTCTCTCTCTCTCTCTCTCTCTCTCTCTCTCTCTCTCTCTCTCTCTCTCCCCCCGTCCCTTTCTCCCTTTCTCCCTCCCTCTCTTTCTCCCTCGTGTCTGCTGCCAGAGACTGAATTTCGACTCTTGACCTGCACTCTTCGCAAGCTTTTCATTTATGCTTGTCATGTGCCACATGATATGGCTCCTCTGTATGAGCTTTGGGGCAATGATTGGTTGAATTTGATGTAGCAAACCTTTTCCAATGTTTTCAGGTGGACCGAGATCGTCTTGTTGCTAGAACCCTGGGGCAGCTCCAGCAGATTGCAACAGTGCCACGAAATTTGAAGAAGCCACTAAAGGTGAACAATCGAACCAAGTACAACCGTTGTGATTTTTCAGCACCGCTTTGACTCGACCCCAAGCCAGGATTGATTTGTTCTGTGGTCGCCAGATGGGATTCAGCTGTATGGCCAACTGCCATCCTAAGTCTCAATTCTTTCCTGTGTAGGACCAGGTTAACTGTAGCTCAGTGAAGCATAACCGTAGTCTGTTGTAGGTCATCAATTGGTCATGGTAATGTAAAATCTGAATGTCTGTTTTGTTTTCTTCAGGAAAAGATTGCTCTCTACAGTGAAGTCTTCTTTCCACCTTCCTCTTCCCCCATCGCCTCCCCTTGCCCAGTGTTGAAAGTCCTATTTCCCGTTTCACCCCGTCTCCGTCCCTTTGTCCATCCCCTCCCCTCCCCTCCCCCACCCTCCCCCGTCAACTCTGTCTGTCTCCCTTTCTCTCGCCTCGTGTACACTTAGTTAGTGCGTACAGTGCTGGTCTTTTGCAGCAATTGGAATGTTTGGCATGAATTCAGCTTATCAGAAATGGCTTTTACTGTACAAGAAAGTGCTTGTTCTCCTTCTTCCCCCCTTCCTCTCCTCCGCTTGCTTACAGGACCGGTTTGGTTACTACGTGTCCAGCCCCGAAAAGGGAGAGGTGGTTTAAGCCTTTTGGTTCTCAAGCGTGTTTGCAGGCAATTGGTGAGAGCTACTTATGGGCCTGTTTCCTTAGTATAGCTCTCCCTGTTTGCTTGGTATGGCTTCCGGGTTTGGGTTTCTTACATCCAATTTCTCGAAGGTTTGCATTCTATCGAGCACCATCATGGGTTCCCTTGTTGCTTCCAGATCTTCTCACCTGTCAAAAGTTTCACAGGCTCAATCTGAAACCTATGTCAAGTTGTTAACCTATGTTGTCGTCACATGACTGTTCTGTTCAAAATCCCTCTTGTCCATTGACATTGTTCTTATGGTTCTTCCTCCGGACTGATGGTGCTCGTTATGCTTTTTATCTGCCGAGTCTGTTTCCCGTCACATCCTTTTGATGTCCCTTATCCGGCTTGTTGTGTGGCTGTAGGTAATATTTGACGGTGAGGAGGGTGTAGACGAGGGAGGCGTCATGAAAGAGTTTTTCCAGCTGTTGATTCGGGACCTGTTTAATGTCAGCTTTGGTAAGATCCCTGATTTCACACACCGCTCGAGCCGTGCGTTCATCAAATAATATTTTGGTGATATTTATTTAAGGAGCAAGGAGATCATCCCGTGAATTTCTTCCAATTCCGCTCTTGCTTTCGACTCCAATCCACCCAGGTTAACCTGGATGTCATCTTCCGAACCCGGTTGTCATCTTCCCAATCTTCGTGCCAGCAATTGGCATACGACACTGAATGGCTTGTGAAACTCTTCTTCTTGTCATTCACTCATGTATCGTTGTGAAACTCTTCTTCTTGTCATTCACTCATATATCGTTGTGAAACTCTTCTTCTT